TACTAAAATGCATGTGCGAGGAGCTTGGAGGAAAAGGCGCATAAGTGCAGTTTTTGCTACTTCGAGAAATACGCGTTTGAAGTTTCGAAATTACATGGATCCTGACGGTGGAGAGAAGGCTCCAACTGACACTTTGATGCTTAAAAATTGGAATTTGGGAGTGAATTTTAAACAAAATATGAAATAAGACTAGCTTTACTTAAAGTCATTTAATACCTCAGTTTTTTTTTTTAAAAAACTGCACTTATGCGTCATGTCCTCCAAACCCCTCATTATGTGTCTGAATGGTAAATGCTGCCAGGTGGCTTCACAACGCGGCATATTTTCTCACTTCCGAATCTAGTTTTCTCTAATTTCTCATTTTCGAATAGGGCAGAGAAGAATTGAAAGTAGAAGAATAAGAGGAGGATGAAGAAGAGATATCATTCACTTTCAATGAGGACGAATTTTGATTGAACTACCGTTCTTCCAATCGCACTGAAGAAAAAACACATTGGATCTAGAGACCAGACTCCTGAAAACATTGACAAGAAAAAGGACTCTTGATTCAATCAGATTTAAGCTTAAATCAAAAGGAAATCCGCTCAAATTAAGAGGATTGGTTCTTGATTTAAGCGTAAATATGATTGAATCAGGAGTATTTTTTCTTGTCGATGTTTTTAAGAGTCTGGACTCTAGATCCAATGTGTTTTTACTTTCTAGCTCCCTTAGGGTAGAGAGGAAGTATTTTCCAGTGCGACCCCAGCATTAGCAAATGACTTGAAAAAAATTCATTGGTTTTATAACTATACCTGTCTATAAAGGTACTCTAACTATACCTACTGTCATAAGAAATCGCGACTGGGTTACGTAAACCTTATCATTTGAAATCGATTTCCATCATTTCTCAACGGTTCCGCGCTCGCATGACTTAACAAAACCCCCGGTTCAGTATCACGGCTGCACTCGCGGCTCGCTCGCTCTGACTCCACACAACTCATCTCATTTCAACGTGAGCCCTGTTCGCCGTAAAACGCTACGCAGTCTGGGGTTCATGTGGAACTAGCGGTACGCCGTTACGTCAGGGGCGCGACGACAACTGCATGCAAGATGCAGGAGCATGACAGGAATGCAGGTTTTACTATCCGCGGTTCGGAGTCACTCGTTTTGTCCACTCGTAAAATACACTTCCGTGAACAGGAATACCGACATGCAAAATAACGGGTCTACACGGATCGTAATTGCTTTTTAATCGCGGCCCCGGTTGCCTTTCGGTAATTGCCGTTAATTAAAATTGGTAAATACGCTCCGTTGATCAGCGTCGGGTCTCTTCTCTTCGGGGGATCGAAGCGACGGCACCGTCAAAACTGAGGTGTGCTCTTCGACTTTTTTCAGGAGGAGCCGACCCCAGTGGGTGGAATCTGTGTGCCTGTACAGGACCATCGAAAAAATTCTCTCGTAGAGTGAATGTAACTCTGGTCGGACAGACTAGACTCTCAGAGCTCCTGTAAATTGTGATTCTGAAGTTCCGCACCACCCCTTTAGCCCTCAGGGTTCTTGCCCCTTTTCAGCGGGGGAGATCCGGGGTTCAAAATTTTGGGAGTTCCCAAAAGTCGCTACCGCTGACTTAAGAGCACTCACGAAATTTCAAGTTTCGAAGTCGATCTGTTAAAAAAAATACAGGGGTGATGCCAGGTGCTGGTGCGGAACTTTTGAATCACCCTGTGTGTCACATCAGGACGTACTTAAATTAGGGAAAAAACAGAAGAAGAAGAAGAAGAAGAAGAGAAGGAGGAGGATAAAAAAAGGAACCATCGGTCGAATATGCTGAGCGTACAATCAGTGCCAGGGCCGTAGTTTTAGTCGTTCCTTCTCTTAGAATCTCCTTTCCTCAGGGGGCATCATACAGTTGGATTACATTTTGCAATAAGGAACCACTATTTCTGGCCCATTTTAGAAACAACATACACGCCATTCGTTCCCTGTGCAGATATGTAGTTTTATGGGAGAGCCAGAGATAGTGGTTCCTTATTGCAAAATGTAATCCTGTTTATCTTGTGATTGAGGCAGGTTACGTTTAAAAAGATCCATCGAAAATTTTCTGGAGAAAGCCCTCCGGACCCTCCTTTCGCCCCCCGTTCGAAGTGTCTGGATCCGCCTATGACATTGCATCATAAAAATAACAAATTCAACAAACCTTCCTCCTTAGTGTAAAATCGTGAGAGTAACATACATATAACGCAAAACGCGAAGCGCTTGTCACTCCATTTTTTCTTTGTCTATCGCCTTGTCTATCAGTGTCAATAATACCCCTACATAATAGTATTTTTCTTCATCCTTATTAAAGGGGCCCCTAATTTCTATCATTGCGGAGAGAATCGCACACGATGAAATCAGAGGGAATCAGACGAGCTCGAGTGCGAAACTTAGGTTGGATAACGTGCGGACGGCGGATAGTTTTCTCCTGGCGCTTGGAGCTTTGAGTCGTTTGGCGTCTCGCTGTCTGTTCATTAACGAGCTGCTGACGTTGAGAACCCGTTCGCGCTGGGAAAGGGCTGCTTTTTCGGGTCCCATGCTCACATGCTCACACACAATCGCCAGTTGCCTGATTTTGAACTGCAATTGTGATTTGACTCCTCAGGTATAGTTCGACCCTGAAGAAGAAAGTCCAATCACGGGAAACACGGGTTTCGGGTGGATCTAGGAGGGGGGACACCCACCCGGTTCACCCGAATAAAAGGAGGAAGAAAAGGGGATGAAAGAGAGACGGAAGTAATGGAGGAAATAAGTGCGAAGAACGCTTAGATTTGGTATATTCATCATGAAATTGACTCAACCTGCATGGTAGATGCCGCACAGTGGATTGAGTCAATCAGAGAGGTCGGTCGTGAAACTAAAACTGCAAATTTTGATGTTTATTTCGTCACATTTTAAATTTTAAGGGGTGACTTTATGAGAAAAATTCACGGAAAAACCAATTTTGTATATACAGAGAATAATCGTCATATAAAGTTTCCAAATTTGGTTCGACCTCTCCTACTGACACGACCCACTGTGTGCCATAGATGCTCTAAAATTTCGAAAATTTTCTAGGGGTAGCCCCCTGGATCCACCTTTCACCACCCGCGGGACAACACACGCCGTCGCGGGGTTCGTTAAAAATTCGGAATCCTGATCGCCCGAGAAAGCACGTTTTTGCGAGAGAATTTTTTGATCAAATCCTAGAATTCTTTGCAGAATATTAACGAAAATCGGGAGAAAATTAAATTCTTTCGTTCCTCTCGATACCCAGCGGGCGAAAAAGGCGCAAGTGTCGACTTGTTAGCGGGCGTTACTCTCGGATTCCCTTCCAAATATGGCAAGTCCGAAGCCCAAGACGCGGAGACGAGCCAAGGCGGCTAATTAGCTACTTATTTCCTTGCTCCCGCCCACGGCTGCCGATTTCCGCGATAATAACTCAATTCCGCCGCGGAAAACCCACCGAATTACGCGGTTTTGCGGGCGACGTGGCCGGCTTGCTCTCGTAATTAGTTGCACTGCGGCGCATCCCGGGGGCGGGGGGCGGAGGGTGGGAAGATGCGCGCACGCACGTTTGAGTCACCGCCGCGTAAACTAGGGCCTGCGCATGCGCGGTCCCGCGGACCGCGAGGCCCGCGCAGCGCGGTGCGCAGGCGCAGTTTCCTGCCGAAAACGGAGAAATTAATTGGCTGTAATTGAATGAACCTTCTACTTCTTACGTAAGGGTATCTCAATTTCCTCGTGAGACAAATTTTGGACATAAATTGTCCTTTTGAGGTTAAGGTAGAAAATTTAATATTGGGAATCAATACTGCAACCTTGGTCTATCTTGTCACCTGCTAATATTCAAGAGGAAAGGAGACCTTTGTTTACCAAATATATCATCACAGCATGGTGTAGTTTTCTACCACAATTTTGAGACGAAAGTGCTCCAAATATCAGGAGTTGAAAATCTTCCAAGCTTTTCAAGAGTTGCTAGATCGGGGTTGAGCACCTTCCACGAAAAGAGACATGCTTTTCCTTTCATTCTTTTTTGGTGAAGTGAAGTATGAATACATACATAAAATATCCAATTTCATAGTTTTCTGGACAAAATTAAGTACAATTTGGCGAAATGGGCGGGGGAAGAAATGATGATTTTGTGAGGATACTATGATTTTTTTTTTTTTTTTTTTTTTTTTTTTTGTAGCTATCCAAGATTGCGCGATCTGGAAGATTATCCCCCTGCCAAAATTATTAAATGAATTTAAAAATATAGAAATTTGAAGTTCGCGTGGTTCAAAAACGTGGTTTCAAGCGACAGAATTATCTACGTTGTATCTGTCACGTTCAAAGTGCAGATTCTGGGGTAGCAGTACAACACTAGGATTACATTTTGCAAAAAGGAACCACTATCTTGGCTCTCCCATTAAAGCACTTATCTGCATAAGGAAACCAATGTCATGTATGTTGTTTCTAAAATTGGCCAGAAATAGTGGTTCTTTATTGCAAAATGTAATCCACTAGATACTTTAAGCCTCATTCAACTTACGCCCTAGAATCTTGAAGCCGCCTTTAACTTACACCCTGAACCCTATCCACTGTAACCGGAGAGAGTTCCGTATTCCTCCAGCCGAAGTTGGCAGGAAGTCAAAAACTGCTCCTAATTCTCTGTCAAAAATGAGGAATTAGACTAACTGCGTTGGGCGCCATTTGACGAGGAGAGTGATGTTGCACCGCTGCTCGGCTGCTACGCCAATTAGCGGTAAGAGCCTCCTCCCCCCTCCATCGCCCACCGACTTGTAGTGTGTTGTTTTTCACGAAACAGCGGTATTCGAGGTGAGAAATTGAGAACAAGCTCGAAAGTCTAGACTAGGCCCCCGGTAATTACCGGTCGGCTCGTGCCGCGTGTCGCCGGAAATGCACGAGCTCATCCGAAGTCCGGTCTGATTGAATTCATTTCGAATGATCCCCCCTCCCCCCTCTTCGAAAGACATGTAGAAATGCGCTAATTAAACACTCACGTAACCGCTTGGAGGCTCGTTACCTTGAACTCAAACTTGGACAGCATTTCACTTACCTGAAACAAACAAAAAAATAAACATAAGAAATACGCAAAAAATAAACTAAGAAAATAAGCAAAAAATAAACAAAAACTTAGCTTTATAAAGTTAGTCATTTGTGATCGTTCGTAGGAAAAGAGATATGGATTGTATTCGATACATCAATCAGGTGAGATTGTATCGATATCGATTGGTTCAGCATATTGACAGAGCCTCAAAAGTCAATTGAATCAGTGAGAACGAAAACGTACCAACTCGAAAAAATGAAAATAATCAAGACACACAAGAAACTGCACAGAAGGTGAAGAAGTTAGTCAAGAAAAAGATTTTTTGTAAATAAAGGCAAGCACTTAAGGACACTTAAAAGGTCCAAGTTGAAACAGATGCACTCATTTCAATGACCTTTATGAAACTGGCTGTTTTCAATGAAAATTGAGCATTTTTGAGTTACTGAGTTGGTGTGTTTTCGTCCTCACTGATTCAATTTAGTAATCTGCGGAAGCGGGTTTTTTGTGGTAGATTTTCTATACTTAAAAGTATAAAATGGCTATGAAGAGTGGAATAACTGGGAATTTTCTCATTTTCAGATTTTCCAACTTAAATCCTATTTTTTTTTTGGGTTGTGTAAATTGTTCTAAACCAGCCGATACATCAAACCACATGTTCAACGAATCTTTCTAAACAGAAACCCCCTTTTATACCGAAGCAAGCCGGAGTAATGCCGCTTTGAAATTCGTAAAAAATTTAGTCTCGAGCAAACTTTTTAAAATGCTAATCTGCCGTGTTCTTGGCATAAAATGGCCACATTATAGTGCATAGCGCCCTCTATGGGTACAAAAACGAACTGAGGTTGCTTGCAAATCATCTTTCAGGGCATGGAATTCACCTCAAATAAGTTTATACGCACTTTCAGGGTGAGACAGAATATCAACCATCTTGAGTCTTGAATTAAATTTTAATAATGAACTATACCCACATGTCTTACTCTGAAAGTGCGTGATCTTTTATGGCGTGGACTTTAGAAAATTTTCTAAAACGAAGTCTCAAAATCCGATTTTTTTTCTTCTTTTTAAACTATCCAAACCACCTTTCTCATAACCTTTCTCCGAGGATTGAGGTCTTTTTTCCTATAGACAGTCACACGAATTAATTTTTGACACTCACGTCGCTACCTAAGATCCTACCACCGGTTCTTCACCGTATTTAGCGTTATTCTGGAGATTCCGTTAGAGTAGGGAGAAAATTCATTCGACCGGTTCGTCACCACCACCGTCATACGCGAAAATTTTCGGGGGTCTCCAATTGAACAGGCTTTTTATTAGGGGAGATGTCATGGACGTCACCTCATTCGTCACATAGATTTATGACCCGCGCTCGAGCGAGCAGGTAGAACCTTTCCGTGCGCGATAATGCAAAATCTGCACGTCGCGCAGTGGATTGAGTCAAAATGAGAGATCGGACAAAATTTGGAAACTTTAAATGCTTATAACTCCGATTATACAAAGCTTTGACGTGTTAAAAGTGGTTCCATTGGTTTTCTCGTAAAATTTTCTACAAGGGGCACCCTTTGAAATTGAAAATGTGACGCAATTAACATCAAAATTTGCAGTTTTAGCAAACAATTTCATGTCCGACCTCTCAAATTGATTCGATCCACTGAGCGTCGCCCTGCAGAGGCGACTTCTCGTAACTCCAAATCGGATTCAAGATCAGATACACCGTATTTCCCTTAGCTCATCTCTGTTGCCCGGCATGGCAACACCGCAAAGAGGGAGTTTTACCGAGGCGTAAATGAGGTAGAAAATCAGCCACGCTACCTAGTGGGCGATTTCCGAAACCGCGCAAACGAGAAAGCGGATGGGTGTTCGATAAAAACACCCATTCTCACGAATACAACGATGCCCGGTTTTCGAAAAGTTCACCTTCATGTGGCTAATGAATAGAAGATATTGGAATGGAGATGTTGCATGTGTGAGGTATTTGCGATTTGACTTTGGATTCTTATGTAAAAGTTTGCGAGAAACACGATGGTGCCACTGGTTTTCTCTCAAATCAACTCCCAAGCTCAAAAAAAGCTCTCAAGTTGAGACCAAAATGGAGGGGATATCCCAACGCTATCCTGAGAGTCCACCTCTACATCAAGACAAACTCTCCATGCAAAGATAGGGAGCAAGTACATTGACAGGGCTGCCACTTTATTTGGGGACTCTAAAACTGAGAACACGGCATCCCTGCTAACGTATTTGCTCCCTATCTTTGCATGGAGAGTTCGTCTTGATGTAGAGGTGGACTCTCAGGATAGCGTGGGATATCCCCTCCATTTTGGGCTCAACTTGAGAGCTTTTTTTGAGCTTGGCAGTTGATTTCAGAGAAAACCAGTGGCACCATCGTGTTTCTCGCGAACTTTACACAAGAATCCATAATCAAATCGCAAATTCCTCACACATGCAACATCTCCCTCTGTCTTATGTTAAATACAAATAGACTAATACAACATTTTTGTACTCCTTTAGCACTGGAAAAAAAGTGAAACTCGGTCCCCGTGAGCACTGAAATAAGCCTTTCTCAATGGAGGCGGCATCGGTGTGAGCGAAGTAGCGAAGATGAGTGCGACTCTCGCGAATGCAGTAGTTCCCAAATTACACCTGGTGATTAGGATGAAATGAAAGGCTCAGACGTCAGGTATTACTTATGGCTAGAGCACATTTATCAAAATCAGGTTCGAGCCACTTCTACAAGCGCGGTGACATTTTGAGTGAAGAGCGGCCGCCTGTCCTGAGCGCCGAGAGAAGTCACTTAAACGAGTTTGTATACAATGTTCGTAGAATCAGCTTTTTTTTCTCCTTTTTCTGTCCTCAGCTCAGAGAACTGCGGTTAAAAGGCTGTGATGACTTATGAAGTCGTAATTGATCAATTATAATCGAAAGGATCGTGGCATAAATATGTTTAGCGGCATTTCAAGCAAGGTTTGAATGTTTCGAGTTTACGTAACCCAACCAATTTTTAAAATGAAAAATTGGGAATCATCGCGGAAGTTTTGGACGGATCGAACGATACACTGGTAAAAAAACGACATTGGATCTAGAGTCCCGACTCTTGAAAACATTGACAAGAAAAAATACTCTTGATTCCATCGGATTTTTGCTTGAATCAAAACGAAATCCGCTTAAATTAAGAGGCTTGGTTCTTGATTTAAGCTAGATTCTGATTGAATCAAGAGTACTTTTCTTGTCGATGTTTTTAAGAGTCTGGACTCTAGATACAATGTTTTTTTCTTTCCAGTGTACTAGGTTAAACTTTTCCGGGCACAAGGTCTCGAGTAATGTATCAACTTCAAACATGCTTCTCTAGGAATCACAAAAATGTCACTTAAAACGTAGGATACACTGAAACCAAATCATTATTTGCATATTTGGAGTTTTATTATTCTCTTTTTTACTTTCTTGTCCAATTTTTTCTCTTTAACCGGTCGTCCGTCAGGTATCAAAATTATTGTGGCGTTGATCGCAATGGGGGTAATGGGGTAGGTACTGGTACCTTCTCCCCGGATTGTCTAAAAATTTCCGATTTTTCTCAAATCGAGGCTTCATGGCTCTGTTCTTTCACCTAGCAACTTTATTATTTTCTATAAATATTATGAAAAAAAAGAAGAAAAAAATGCTGTAAAGCAGTGGCGTATGTGCTTTGCTATCTATCGATATTTCCCCATTTTGAACTGTGGTAAATCATCAATTATTAAGGTGTTCGCTGCGAACACCCTGTTTATCGATACTTCTCCATAGGTTTAAATGGCCGATCAATCGATGTACAGCAAATCACGACACGCTACTGCTGTAAAGTGTAAAGTTACTGGACAGATCTAAATATTCACAATTCTTCAATGAAGAAAGTTGCCGAATAAGGCTCTGCAACACTGATCGAACTGGAATCACGCTCTTTTGAAAAATTCCTTGGAGAAGTCTGATGACCTGATCTATTATACAACTAATTGTAAACACAAAAAAACATAATTAAGCTGTTCGGTTTTGAATCTTCATATTTTTGAATAATCCGAACTTGGGATCCTCACAAGTCACAGGTTCCACGAGACCCAAACTGATCGGGGTAAAATGTTCCTTCCTGAAACATAACGAGGATAATCAGAACCCTCTTTTCCAGAAATCAGCTATCCAACTACATGTTTATCATCTCAGAACACCGTCGACTCCCAAGACTTGTTGCGTTTTACGGAATCCAGAGCTCTTGAATTCGGATCAATCGAGAGTATTCGAGGTATGTGAGTAAACGGGTTTGCCGTGAGGAGGAGGGCATCGTCCCTGACCAGTTAAGAGTATATGCCTCCCTGATTTTCGTCTGGCGATCACTTCGGATTAGTCATCAGCTCCACCGTTGTCATGTGGTCATGAGAAGCTTATCCTTCTATCTTTCTCTCTCTTCCATCCAATTAAAATAAAAATATTTAGGCAATATTATAGAACATTTATAGGGGGAATATGGACACTGGGCCCCGTAGAGGGTTTAGGGCTCAAAAATGGCGGCGCTTTGTTTTGGTTTTTATGGATGGGAGGAGGGTCTTGAATCGATGCAATATTGCGCCAATATTGAGCCAGTAAAGCGGTGAGCGGTAAAGGGATAATTCATGAGTGTATATAATATTACATCACATACATTTCATGTCATGTTATTTATCGAGTATTTCGTCAATACTCCTGTAGGTTTGGTCCGTGTTGGCATGAAAAGTCTTACGCCGGTGTCAATTTGAGATATACTTTAGAGAGTATTACTGATGTGTTTTAGTTTAATGTTCAATGAGCATTCTACTGAAAAATTAAAACAATACTATAAAACATTATTGCACCTGAAAATTTGGGCAATATTGTGACAATTCGTCTAGACACTCTTGTCTCGACGAGGTACGAACGCATGGAATGCAAAATGAAAGAATATCAACATGCAGATCTTTTTTTCAACATGCTTCTGACCAAAATTCACTTTAGAAACCTCAAAATGAGCTTCA